GCCCAACATTAGTCAACTCGGGAGCTTGGAGCTCATTGCACCCTGGCTCCTCCGGCAAACAGACCAATCTCTCGAAAGATTCACAATCACGAATAGATAAGCTCTCCATCGATTTTAAGACACCGAGAAATCGAACTTCAACTAGCTTGTTGCAAGAATACACATGGGCTTCTCTGAGTTTTCTCAAACTTGATGTGATTGATATTATTGTGACGAGTTCACAAATTGTGATAGTCAACTTTTCCAATTGAGGAAGCCCAACGAGTTCTACTTGTTTCACTCGAGTGTTATTGAGCTCCAGAACTCTCAAGTTTGATGGAAGTTGTGTCAGTGTTTGCAAGTCTAGTCCATGGAGAATAAGTTCTTCCAGTAGAGAAAGGGAACCCTACTCCGTAGACGTTGCACAGACATTTAAAAGGCACAAGTGCTGCTTCCTCAGTTTGGATAGCCTCCTATTCCACGACTAGCTGCAAGGTTGAATTATATCTGATTTTTCATAAATACCAGAGGCATCGGAGCAGTTCAGCTAGATTAGTAAGGTTTGAGAGGTCAGGGACAGTCTGCAACGATTTTGATTCAAGCCGAAGAGTGGTCAAACTTATGGGGAGCTTCGGCAACTCTTGGATCTCATGACACTCATATAGGTCCAGTGTATGGAGTTGACTGAGCTTGCTCGTTGTCCCAGGCAATTTCACTATCTTTGAGCTTGATACATCGAGAGAAGACAAGCTTTGTAGTCTATAAATGGAATATGGTAATCTTGTAATGCTCGTGTGTGATAATTTCAGCTCTGCCAATGACTCTAATTTCGAAACTGAGTCGGGGAGTTCCCTCAATCTCCAACAATTATTAAGAGAGAGGTACTGAAGATTCTTTAGTTCACCAATTTGTTTGGGCAATTTTTGAAATGCCATGCTATGCTCAACACTCAAGTCAGTCAGACACCGAAGTTTCCCAATAGAGCAATCAATTTCCTCCAAATAGTGGCAACCAGATATAGTCAACTTCTCTAAAATTGAGTCTTCGGAAAAGGTTGGTGTCCTGCATAGCAATGGAATATGTATTAAGAGTGAGAGCCTTCAATTTCCTTGCCCCCTACAAAAGACAATGAAACATAAGGACAGAGAATTAGATGAATGTACAAGAAACAAATACAGATGTAGGCTCCCAACTTGTATCGTGTGTCATTTGATCCTCCTCACTAAATCAGAAAATTAGACTGTAAATTCATTACGTTTTGTCCTTCATTGAATGAGAAAATTAGACTAAGGGGGATTCTAACATACCTTGATTAGGCTCTTGACCACATCTTCTGTCCACACATAGTAACGAATTGACATCACAACCATGCTTTCTAGATGCAAAATGGTTGCCATAAATTGTAGATCGCGTTTGGGGTCTACAACATCGTAAATCAAATCGATCCATTTCAACTTGGAAAGACATCCCGTAAAGTCGCCTTGGCAAGTTATGTTACACAACCACAGCAGCCGAAGATGTGGGAACCGTTTAATTTGCTCTGCAGTGACAGTTGGATAATCATCAATCAATGACCGATCTAGCGCCAGTCATATCATTATCAATGGTGACAGTTTTTCTCAAATCCAGTGCTTGAACGCTTCTCTTGATCTGCCAATGACATTGAGGAACAGAAGCAGGAATTTGTCAATATCCCACAAACTTATTTCGTCGAAGAGAAGAAAAAATGAAACAGAAGAGTACCTCCCTATCCAGAAACATCATTCCTCAATTAGGAACAGGGTAAGGAATTTTCAATTCAAATTTGGCCATACTTTACCTCTGTTGATCTTAATTCGTGAATGATGTCATCTCTAGCTTGCAACCTGCTACGCTCTTGACTAGCAATTGCCCTTCCTAGATCTCTAAACTGGTCGTGCATCCAAAACCTATTATTGTCTAAAACCTTTATCATGCACCTGCTAATAAGGACATCAATAGCATTCTCTGGGCTAAACCCACAATCTTTCCACATGTAGATTGGATTAGCCTTATAAAAACCGATGAAAAAGCATGCAACATCGAGAAATATTTGTTGTTGACCTGGTTTCAAGGTATCATAGGTAATCCTTAACTTTCCCAAGACATCATCATGAGGTGTTTTCCTTAGCTCCTCTAGCACCTCTTCCCATATTTTTTTCTCTTTCCGAAGAAATAGCGATGAACCTATTGCTCGAAGAGCTAAAGGTAGTCCGCCCGCAGTAGAGACAATGCCTTCTGAAAGAGTGTAGTAATCGGCTGGAGGAGAGTTGTCATCAAAGGCATGCCTACTGAAAAGTTGAAGTGAATCTCTGTCGCTCAGCTCCTCCATTTCATAGGGCTCGATTTCATACTTAAATCCCCCGATTTTCAGAACCTTTTTGTCCCTGGTGGTAACAAGTATCCTAGTACTGGGAGACAAAGAATTCGTTCCGATTAGTTCTTGGATTTGGTTGCCATCATCCACATCATCCAAAACAATTAGTACCTTCTTGTTGCAAATTGCTTCTCCAATCGTATGAGTCCCATGATCACTGGTACCAATGCTGCGAACCCCTCTAGAATTACAGATGTCGGACAAGAGTTGTTGTTGCAGCTTGAGTAAGCCCTGGGTTTTTGCCGTTTCGCTTACATCATCAAGAAAGCTGCAGTATTTTCCAAATCGAGGACATAATTGGTTGAAGATTTTCTTGACAAGTGTCGTTTTACCGATGCCCCCCATCCCGTAAATTCCAATAAGCCGCACACCATTGGAGTTGATATCTATTAAATTGTTTATGGCCGCTATTCGATCCTCCATTCCAACTAAATCTTCAGTCACTTTTCTTTGTCTTGTCTGGAGCCTATTCACAACCTCGTTAACAACTGACTTGCTTAGATCCCCATCGCTGCCACAAAGTTGAAAAATTTCGATTGAGAAAAAGTAAAAAATTCATTTCCTTGCATGTTGACCAACCATATACTAAGTCAACTAATTTCAATCTAATTATCTTAAACATTGTTCCCATGGAAATGATAAAATTATGGATGAATGACATAATCATATTACCTTATTGTTATGTTATGAGATCGACAATTCTTGCGCAAAACAATTCAAAAGAACAGAAGAGGAGTACTTAAATAAAGTGGTTCTTATTCAAACATCTAACAAGTCTTTTTCGCATCTCTTTTGTAGATCAATTTCATAAACTAATCAAAAAGGTAGATTCTACTTAGTTAAGTGATGGAGCCAGGAATCTAACGTTGATACTTTGTTGTTGCATCTAAGAAAAAACCACCACGTAAGAAGCCAATATAATAAAAAAGTGTAAGAAAAAGTGTTTTTTTACCGAAATAAAAATCCTAAACCGCATTTAATTTTGCGAGTTCATTTTTTTTTATTGTTCATCGGGTTCGAGGACACTAAAATTTTTATCACCGCATTATTATTTCACCTAGAACAATAAAAATTAATTTCCATCAAGTGTCTTGCATATGTGTGCGCACTCGCGCCACCATCTTGTGAGAGTTTTACTCAGTAATTTACATACATTTGTCTTTATGATTATGAAGCAACTTTTTTTTTTGGGGAGAGGGGGGGGAGGGAAAAGAACAGAACCAGACAAGAACCAAAAGAGACCGAAAACTAGGGTGGTTCCGCACCTCGGCTTGAGACCGGAAGGATATGGCCATGCAACACTCGAGGAAGCCAAGTACATAAATCGGTTTCGAATCATTCCTTCCCCACTTAAGTTTGGCATGCTTGACACTGACAGAGATACGACAGAGCATATGCAAATCAGCTCAGCACAAAGTCTGACCTGAGGTTTCGTGAGTTCTCAGCTTGTGAAAAATGACAATCAAACGGATCATTTGAACTGCTCATGCCAGTTCAATTCTATTATAATGAAGTCAAAAGACAGACATTTACAGCTTCCACTGCGCCAGCAAGCATGACAGGTGCGTACACAACGCACCTGAACAAATCAGGACCACCCCCTGCATCCTCAACCTCTCTTGCCACTCATTCAGATAACAAATCAACGCCTTGTTCCTTAGCTGTAGTAACTGCTGAGCGTGACCCTAACATCCTCAGAAACCCTTTGAAAGAGAGCTCCTTCGTTATACGCAGTGGCAATGACTCACCTTTGCATCCCAACCCCACACTCTCGAATGGGAAAGGGAGTTTCTTGTAACCATCAATTAAGTACTTTAGGTTGGGGTCCCAGAAGGGCTGTGTAGTGTCGTGGAAGCGTTTCAAGACCAGATCGAATGTAGGGCTCACTTCAAGATCAATGTAGCACTACACTGCAGTGACACCTCCCAGCTTCTGGAGCAGATAGGTCACGAGGGAGTAGAAATTGGGGAGGTCGAACCAGTGCACAACTTGAGCAACCGTAATCAAATTCACTGAATTTTCGCCTCCGATTAAGGTCACAATTTCGTCGTTGGAAATGGGTATTGGGGTGTGGACGTAGTGGACCCTTAAATGCTGCATCGCACAGTTTAGCTAGTGCTCAGCTACCTACTTTACAAGGAAATGCAGGGCATATGAACAGAGCTGCACGTGACGAACAATCTGGTATTAATGAAAGAAATTGAGATTGGTGAAAGATTTCCCATCATAAAGCAAGAAGGGAAGAGAAGCACATTTGAAAAAGAAAACAAATGGGAAAAGAAGCTTGGAAGACACTGAACACTCAGCAAAATATAATGCAATGGTTGGCTGTCGATTGATCAAGCTTTTGCTTTTGTTCTCGTCGACTGAGCTTGCTACTCGTCGATTTCAAGAGTTGGTCATTATTTCATGTCAACAAACTTCAAAAAATTTCCCACGAATTCAACGTAGAAACAAATTGAATCTCCAGTAGCTATAGGCACCCCAACAGTGGGTCCTCAAAGCATCTTTAGGGAGCTTGAGACGAGGGACACTCTCCTCCAACCACAAGTCGACTCGGGAGATTGTAGCTCCGACAGATAAACCAACCTCTCGAAATATTTGCAGTGAAATAATACATAAGCTCTCCGTCAATTTTAAAACACCGAGAAATTAAACTTCAATTAGCTCTGTGCAAGAAGACACCTCGCTTCTCTCAGTTTACTCAAACTCGATGTAACGGATAATCTCTCGAAAAGTTCACACCCAAACATAAACACCAAATTTCAAATGTGAAAACCCAAAAATTTAACAAATCAGAAGTCCAACCCAGGTTTTGGACATGCATGCAATCGCCTCGCAGGGTTATAGCTTCGATCCACGTCGTTCTCATCACTGCCCTCCCTCCACGCTACACTGTCGATCCTCCATTTCCAGTCGAGTGAAGCAAACGACCCTAGCTCAGCTGGTGATGACTCGAAGAACCAAGCTTTCATTTTTTATACGGAAAATGGCATATGTGAGATGCAAGAGCTCGCCGATTGACAAAAGATACGAACTGCTGGTGAGCTGGGAGTGAATTGCTCGCCAAAAGATGCGAACTGCTGGTGAGCTGGGAGTGAATTGCTCGCCTACTTCATTGAGAAAAACACCTCCTAACAACTTTTTTGAGACAGCGACCACACTTCGTGAGACCTTTTGCAATTTCCCCTCTATCGGACCTAAATTTTATTTAGGAAAGGCCTTTTTGTTTAGAAAATAGAAAGTAAATAAATAAAGCAGAACAAACAGTGATGATCTATGAATTGAAAGAAGCCGCACCTTTTCGAACAGAGCACCACTTTGAACAGAGGATTCCCCATTTCTGTTTCAGAACCTATTACCGTATCAAAGTATGTAATTTCATAGCACGACTCTCTTGTTGGTTCATTCAGAGTCTTCTTTCTGTAATCCCCCACAGTGAAGGAACGAGCCCCAACCCAACGGTCAACCGACTCAAACCCCCGACAACGCACTACAACTATCCAGCATTCATTTGCTATTTTTGAGCTTGATGCATCAATAATCCTTTCAATTGATATGCACTCACAAACTGTCAGCTGACACAAAAACTCTAATTTTTCAATACCATCGACATCCTGCAGGCTCTCGCACCATCCAATATTTAAAGTCCTCAAATTCTTCAAGTTTGACAAACCGCCTAGGCTTTCTAACGAAATGCAATCTTGAACAGAAAATTTTACCAATGCTTCCAACGTTGAAACAAATTGAATCTCCTGTAGCTCTGGGCACCCATGCAGATCGAGTTCTTGAAGCATCTTGAGGGAACTTGAGATCAGGGACACTCTCCTCCTACCATCAGTCAGCTCAGGAGCTTGTAGCTCATTGCACACTGGCGCCTTCAACAGACAAACCAACTTCTCCAAAGATTTGCATCCAGTAATAGATAAGCTCTTCATCGATGTTAAGACACCGAGAAATTGAACTTCAAGTAGCTTGTTGCAAGAATCCACATTGGCTTCTCTCAGTTTTCTCAAACTTGATGTAATGGATATTCTTGTGACGAGTTCACAACTTCTGATAGTCAACTTTTCCAACTCAGGAAGCCCATCGAGTTCTACTAGTCTCACTTGAGTGTTATTGAGCACTAGAACTCTCAAGTTTGATGGAAGTCGTTTCAGTAGCAAGTCTCGTCCACAGAGAGTAAAATGTACGTGGTCAATCACAAAGGAAAAATCCTGCTTCCACCGTTTGGATAGCCTCCCAATCCACGGCAAATCGCAAGATTGACTTTTATATGAATGGATAAAAAATTCAGAGGCATCGGACAGGACCAGTTCAACTAGATTAGTAAGGTTTGAGAGGTCAGGGACAGTCTGCAACGAACGAGATGTAAGTTGTAAAGTAGTCAAACTTTCGGGTAGCTTCGGCAACTCTTGGATCCGATAACAAAGCTCTAAGTCCAGTGTTTGGAGGCGACGAAGCTCGCTCATTGTCCCAGGCAATTTCACTATTTCTGTGCATGATACATTGAGAGAGGACAGGCCTTGTAGTCTACCAATGCAATCTGGTAATCTTCTAATGCCCGTGGCTGACACATTCAGCTTCGTCAACGACCCTAAATTCAAAACTGAGTTGGGGAGTTCCTTCAAGCTAGCACATCGCCTAAGATCGAGGAGCTGAAGATTCTCTAATTTGCCAATTTGTTCTGGCAAATTTTTCAGTTTCCCACAATCCTCAACATTCAAGTCAGTCAACAACTTTAATTTCCCAATAGAGCGGTTAATTTTTTTCAAAGATGGACAACGAGAAATAGTCAACTTCTCTAAAACTGAATTTTTGGAAAAAGTTGGTGTCCTATGCAACGACCAACAACGTTCAAGACTGAGAACCCGCAATTTCCTTGCCCCCTAGAAAAGCCAATGAAACATCAGGACAGAGAATCAGATGTCTATACAAGAAATAAATATGGATTTACGCTCCCAACTTGTATCGATTGTCATTTGATCCTCTCACTAAATGAGAAAATTAGTCTGTGAATTCATTAAATTTTGTCCTTCATTGAATGAGAAAATTAGACTGAGTGGGAAATTGACATACCTTGATTAGGCTACTGAACGCATCCGTTGTCCACTCATTGCCAAAAATATACATCACAACCACGCTTTTTAGATGCAAATTGGTTGCCATAAACTGTCGATCAAGTTTAAAGGAACACAAATCGATCCATTTCAACTCGGAAAGACAGCCCGCAAAGTCGCCTTGCCAGATTACGTTACGCAACCAAAGAAACTGTAGATGAGGGAACCGTTTAATTTGCTCCGCAGTGACAGTTATATGGTTCCGGAAGTTCTCTGGCAAACAGATTGCTTGAACGCTTGGCTGGATCTGCCAATGACATTGAGGAGCGGGATCAGGAATTTGTCAATATCCTAGAGTCTTATTTCCTCAAAGAGAATAAAAAAATGAAACAGAAAAGTAGCTACCAATTCAGAAACGTGAATCCTCAATTAAGAACAGGGTAGGCAATTTTCTATTCAAATTTGGTCATACTTTACCTCTTTTGATCTTAATTCGCGAGTGATGTCGCTTGTATCCCACAACCTGGTATGCTCTTCCTTAGCAATTGCTCTTCCAAGATCTCTAAATTGGTCATGCATCCAAAATTTATTGTCGTCTAAAATCTTTATCATGCACCTTTTAATAAGGACATCAATTGCAGAATTTGGACTAAACCCACAATCTTTCCAAACGTAGATTGGATTGGTCTTATCCAGACCGATGAAAAAGCATGCAACATCGAGAAATATCTGTTGTTGAGCCGATTTCAGGGCATTATAGGTAATCCTTAGCTTTCCCAAGACATCATCATGAGGTTTTTTCCTTAGCTCCTCTAGCATCTCTTTCCATATTTGTTTGTCTTCCTGACCAAAAAGCGATGAACCTATTGCTTGAAGAGCTAAAGGTAGGCCACCTGCGGTAAAGACAATTTCTTTCGAAAGAGTGTAGTAATCCGGGGGAGGAGAGTTGTCATTGAAGGCATGCCTACTAAAAAGTTGAAGAGCGTCTTTGTTGCTCAACCCCTCCATTTCGTAGGACACGATTTCATACTTAAATCCCCTGATATTCAGAACCCTTTTGTCCCTAGTGGTAACAAATATCCTAGTAACAGGATACAAAGAATTCATTCCAATTAGTCCTTGGATTTGGTTGCCATCATCGACACCATCCAAAACAATTAGTACCTCCTTGTTGCAAATTGTTTCTCCAATCGTATTGATCCCATGATCGCTGTTACCAATGTTGCGAACCCCTCTAGAATTAGAGATATCAGACAAGAGTTGTTGTTGCAGCATGACTAAGCCCTGGGTTTTTGCTGTTTCACTTACATCGTCAAGAAAGCTGCAGTTTTTTCCAAAGCGAGGAAGCAATTGGTTGAAGATTTTTTTGGCAAGTGTTGTTTTACCGATGCCACCCATCCCGTAGATTCCAATAAGCCGCACACCACCGGAGTTGATGTCTAATAAATTATTTATGGCTGCTATTCGATCATCCATACCGACTAAATCTTCGGTCACTCTTCTTTGTCTTGTCCGGAGCCTATTCACAACCTCGTCAACAACCATCTCGCTTAGATGCCCATCGCTGCCATAAAGTTGAACAGTTTCGATTGAGAAAAAGTAACAAATTCATTTCCTTGCATGTTCACCAACCATATACTAAGTCAACTAATTTCAATCTAATTTTCTTAAACATTGTTCCCATGGAAACGTTAAAATTATGGACGAATAATATAATCACAATATAATGTTGTTATGTTATGAGATCGACAATTCTTGCCCAAAACAATTCAAAAGAACAGAAAAGTAGTATATAAATAAGTGGTTCTTATTCAAACATCTAACAAGTCTTTTTCCCATCTCTTTTGTAGATCAATTTCATAAACTAATCAAGAAGGTAGATTCCACTCAGTTAAGTGACGGAGCCAGGAGTCCAATGCTAATACTTTATAATTGCATCTAAGAAAGAATTACCACCTAAGAAACCAATATAAAAATAAAGTGTAAGAAAAAGTTTTTTTTTTATCCAAATAAAAATACCGAACCACACTTAATTTTACGAGTTCATTTTTTTGAATGTTCATCGGGTTCAAGGACACTAAAAATTTATCACCGCGTTATTATTTCACTTAAAACCAATAAAAATTAATTTTCATCATGTGTTTTGAGATGTGCGCGCACGCCATGATCTCGTAAGAGTTTTAATCAGTGATTTACTTTTCATGATCACAGTAGTCATATGGGTTATCACATGTCTACATGTATGGACCTTTGTCTTTATGATTATGAGGCAACTCAATTTTTTTTCTGGGTGGTAACAACAATTTATCCAATGAAAAAGGGCACGAATCGAAACGGGTCTCGAATCAGATGGACTACAGACTCGATAAAAATTCAACGACACCCTCAAAACTTCAGGAACATGATGAATATCAAACATGAACATGCATTACAAGTTTAAGTTGAAGGAACAGAGCAAGAGAAATGTTTGATCTTTAAATCAAGTAGAAGAATTAAAATATAAATGTGTGATGAGTTACAGCAATATTAAATTTACTTATTTCTTTAGTGTAAAAAAGATGAAGCAAAGCCAAAATTTTATACAGTTCGGCCAAAAACGAAATCATAATAATTCTATTACGTCAGAAAAATTTGGATATCCCATGATATAAAAAATAAATAAAGAAAGAATTTGAGACTTTTTATTTCAATTTAGAGAAATTGGAGTTGGAATATAATTAATGAATTTTTATGAGATCTATCTTTCGATTGTTAAAAAATAATTTTAGCATTCACAGTTAGATGGTTACCCTGAATAATTTTGCAGGTCGAACCCACTGATGCCACCAACTCTTCTGAGAGCCGCCCGCCACGTCTCTACATCCCCGGAGCTGAACTTCTTCTGAATCTCCTTCTGTTGCTCCAACTTCAGTATGGCATTTTTGTACAACTTCGTTTTTAGCTTGACATCATCAGGTTTCACGTCATAGAAGATGGGCAATATCACCTTCTCATTCCCATCTTCTCTTCTAGATTCAGAGGTGTTCTGCACCATCTTTGCAACCTCGCGGAGGCACCAGTGACTCGAAGCGTAGTTTGGGGAGAAGATGGGTATGTAGAGCCTGGAGTCATCGATCGCTCGCAGAAGGTTGCCACTAATTCTTTCGCCCTGTCGAAACTCTTCGTCGTCGATCAAAACGTGAATCCCAGCCTCTCTTAAGTTGTGGTAGAGGACATCGGTAAATCCGCGGCGAGTATCGGGCCCTCTGAAACTCAGGAACACCTGGTACTCACCCCTTAATGTATTGCCGGTGCTCGTCTCTGTCTTGGAGTTCGCCATAGGAGCTTCCTCTGCAATTAGCGTGGTCCCCAGGCACAGCTGAAGCACGTGGAGAGGATGGGTATGTTAGATACCTCGGAGTCTTCCGAGCTCGCCCGCCGGACCCGAGCTCAGTCGTCAATCTCGCAATCACGGAACACAGGAGCTTCTTGAGGATGGAACCCAAGCAAGAAAGAGGAAAAGGCGCAGGAGATGAGCTTTACCTCAGACGTGGCGACCACCGGCGAAGGGATCCTTGAAAATTAACGTCGATCGTGCGGAATTGACGGGCTCGCCGGAGTAGTTTCGCGACCACCACCGGGGAGTGCTGATTCACGGTTTCGCGAAGTCTGTTTATGCAGAATCGACGATGGCTGGAGAAACCCTAGGTGTGCTCGAGGAACTGCGGCTTGCGGAGGAGGAGCTCTATCGGGAAGGGAAGTAGACGGTGCAGAGAGAATTGTGTCGGGAAGTGACAATTGATTGCACTTACTTCTGCTGAATGAGGGGCAAAGGCCCATGGGCCAATAGGGGTTGGGCCGAAGTTTGCGAGGAAAGTTTGGCCCATTTTAGGTGCGTTTATTTATCGGAAAATGAATGATTCTTTATAAATAATAACTTATATCGTTTAAAAAATTAATCATTGAAAAATATTTTCATCATCGATAATAAATTATATCTAATTATTATCATGGGTGATGAAAAAAAAATTTATTCATTTATTTTTCTAAACGATATAAGCGAACATTTTTCAGAAATTGTTTGTCAATTCGCTCATTTTCCGTGAAATAAACGCATTCTTAGTGGAGCGCACTTAGCATTTTGCCCAAGGGAAACGAACAAGCTAGCGGATTGGGTGGCTAATACCCAACGGAAAAAATAAAAACTCCCCGTTAATTGGCTATCTTATCTCCCAAAACCTATGTTGGATCTTTTAATTTTTTATGTCCACAAACTTGCTTTGCATTAATGAAATTTTCAGTACGCCGACCCAAAAAAAATAAAAACAAAGAAAGAATCACCTCCCTGATGACATATAGGACTCTAAGCTGAATCTCCTTCGTATTGCATTTATTGAATTTGCAGCATTCTCCACAAAAAAAAAATGCACTACCTAAGTATTGCCTCAACATGTATTTGTTTTTTGGTGTGAATTTAGTGGTAGCAACACAAGAGAATCTTAATATGCAAAGCCTATGAAGACACTATTACAGTATGTAAACTCTCTCATTTTATAAGATACCTCTATTACTTTCATGATACACAAACTAATTTGAACAAAATGCTATTGTAATACAAATTCTCTATCTTAACCTGTAAATCCCCGTCCTCCTAAAATTGCCATTCTTTCTAAACTCTAGAGTTTACTAAGACAAGCATAATATGACTTCCCTTTACCTGGTAGTGAATTGCCGTCTATCTGTACCACTACTAGGTTTTTGAATTTGATTCCTATACTAGGGTAGCAAGAATCGTATTAGTTCCCTCTTACCGAAGTTTTTTAACGAAGGAAACTGACTGGAAAAATTTGTCCATCTTCAATTCGTCCTTTGACAAGCCATCACATCAACTTCAAGAGATTTTTATATAAGATCAGCTTTGAAAAGGCCTTCAAGGGGAAGAAGGATTTGGTCAGCGAAAAGAGAATTCAAGACAATTGTAAGTGTTACGGAGTGGCAAACCAATGAGTGTTGAACCATATCAACAAAGACAAATTTATGAAGAATGTTTCCGTAGGGGAGCTCTGGTCGACGTAATCATAAATGCATACACCGAAGAGGAACAGATTCAGAAGTAGAATCCAAACAAACTCATGAATTAAATAGGGCACTTCCATATCATTGTCTGGGTTATGGAGGGAAAGGAAGGAGCAAATTGACATTTGAACTATCAGAAAGTAAAAGATCAGAACCAGACAAGAACCAAAAGAGACCAGAAACTAAGGCTTGAGACCGGAAGGATATGGGCATTCAACACTCGTTGAACGAGGAAGCCAAGTACATAAATTGGTTTTGACCAACAGCAGCGACACGGTAACAGAGTAGAACATAGCAGAGTAATATCGTGGCTATTCAAGGCCAATTCGACAATTACGTGAGGTGCCGCTGTACGTGTGAGTATCATCCGGGATAAAGGCACGAGGATGAAGCGCTGCCATTAAGTGAGTCGTTGGCAGAAGACTCAAATCGAGTCCATCTTGAGAGCAATTTTTGGCGAAACCAGCGATTCCATGGCAGTCACTGACGCGTGGGACAAGCATCTCGAACTTCAGGAATGGATGAATAAAGGTTTGAACGAGAAGAGCAAGCTCTTGAACCGTGAAAATAGAGGATACAAAAACAGAGCATCTCGGCCAAACTCGTCAAAGCCGACACCAGCGATCGCCTGAGGTCGAGTAGGAGTTGGCAACTGTGGTGACGTTGTTCTGGAAACTCAGCTAGTGTTACAGTGAAGGAGCTCGGCGGAATGGTGAGGTGAGGGAGAAGAATCCAGAGAGCTCCCTGATGCCAGAGAGAGAACCCTTCAGTCCTGTCGGCGTGATGAAGGTGGAGCTCACCAGTATTGGACTGGGAGCACGAGAGCGTGGCGACGATGTGGCAAAGATTTGGGGACGAACCTCTATTGCCAATTCATTGTTTAAAACACAAAACCCGACCCGAAGTGACCCAGACTCGACCCGTCTCAATCACTTGGCAATATCCTGTTTGGGTCGGGTCAAGCACGCATGTCAAGTGTTTCGGGTTGAGTCGGGTATCATGAAAACCCGACCCGAACCGACCCATTGACACCCCTGGCGCACACCACCGGAGCCGATGTCTTATAAATTGTTTATGGCTGCTATTTGTTCCTCGATTCTGACTAAATCTTCAGTCACTTCTCTTCATCTTTTCTTGAACCTATTCACAACCTCGTCAACAACCCTCCTGCTTAGATGCCCATCGCTGCCATAAAGTCGAACAGTTTCGATTGAGAAAAAGTAACAAATTCATTTCCTTGCATGTTCACCAACCATATACTAAGTCAACTAATTTCAATCTAATTATCTTAAACATTGTTCCCATGGAAGCGTTAAAATTATGGACTACTAATGAAATCACAATATATTGTTGTTAGGTTATGAGATCGACAATTCTTGTCCAAAAACAATTCAAAAGAACAGAAAAGCAGTATATAAATAAGTGGTTCTTATTCAAACATCTAACAAGTCTTTTTCGCATCTCTTTTGTAGATCAATTTCATAAACTAATCAAGAAGTTAGATTCCACTCAGTTAAGTGACGGAGCCAGGAGTCTAATGCTAATACTTTATAATTGCATCTAAGAAAGAATTACCACCTAAGAAACCAATATAAAAATAAAGTGTATGAAAAAGTCTTTTTTTTATCCAAATAAAAATACTGAACCACACTTAATTTTATGAGTTCATTTTTTTGAATGTTCATTGGGTTCAAGGACACTAAAAATTTATCGCCGCGTTATTATTTCACTTAAAACCAATAAAAATTAATTTCCATCATGTGTTTTGAGATGTGCGCGCACGCGCCATGATCTCGTAAGAGTTTTAATCAGTGATTTACTTTTCATGATCACTCTATCCAGTAGTCATATGGGTCATCACATGTCTACATGGATGGACCTTTGTCTTTATGATTATGAGGCAACTAAATTTTTTTTGGGAGTGGTAACAACAATTTATCCAATGAAAAAGGGCACGAATCGAAACGGGACTCGAACAAGATTGACAAAAGACTCGATAAAAATTCAACGACACCCTCAAAACTTCAGGAACATGATGAATATCAAACATGAACATCCATTACAAGTTTAAGTTGAAGGAACAGAGGAAGAGAAATGTTTGATCTTTAAATCAAGTAGTAGAATTATAATATAAATGTGTGATGAGTTACGGCAATATTAAATTTACTTATTTCTTTAGTGTAAAAAAGATGAAGCAAAGCCAAAATTTTATACAGTTCGGTCAAAAACGAAATCATAGTAATTCTATTACGTCAGAAAAAATTTGGATGATTAAAAAAATAAATTTATTAGATCTACCTTTCGATTGTTAAAAAATAATTTTAGCATTCACAGTTAGATGGTTACCCTGTATAATGCCGCCATTCCAACCCCCTGATGCCACCAACTCTTTTGAGAGCGCGCCGCCACGTCTCTACTTCCTCTGTGCTGAACTTATTGTTTCTCGGACCACAAAACCACCACCACTTCTTTTGATCCTCCTTCTGTTGCTCCAACTTCGATATGGCATTTTTGTACAACTTCGTTTTTAGCTTGACATCATCGGTTTTCACGTCATAAAAGATGGGCAATATCACCTTCTCATTCCCATCTTCTCTTCTAGTTTCAGAGGTGTACTCCACCATCTTCGCAAGCTCGCGGAGGCACCAGTGACTTGAAGCGTAGTTTGGGGAGAAGATGGGTATGTAGAGCCAAGAGTCATCGATCGCTTGCCAAAGGTTGCCACTAATTCTTTCGCCCAGTCGAAGCTCTTCGTCATCCATGAAAACGTGAATCCCGGTATCTCTTAAGCCGCGGTTGAGGACGTCGGCGAATCCGCGGCGAGTGTCGGGCCCTCTGAAACTCAGGAACACCTTGCGCTCACCTCCTAATGTATAGCTGGTGCTCGTCCCTGTCTCTGAGTTCGCCATAGGAGCTTACTCTGCAATTGGCGTGGTCCCCAGGCACAGCTGAAGCACGTGGAGAAGATGGGTATGTTACATAAATCGGAGTCTTCCGAGCTCGCCCTGCCGGACTCGACCTCAGCCATCGATCTCGCAATCACGGGACACAGGAGCTTCTTGGGGTGGAACCCAAGCAAGAAAGAGGAAAAGGCGCAGGAGATGAGCTTTACCTCAGACATGGCGACTAACGGCGAAGGGATCGTTGAAAATTAACATCGATCGTGCGAAATTGACGGGCTCGCCGGAGTAGTTTTGCGACCACCACCGGGGAGTGCTGATTCACGGTTTGGCGAAGTCCGTTTATACAGAATCGACGATGGCTGGAGAAACCCTAGGTGTGCTCGAGGGACTGCGGCTTGCGGAGGAGGAGCTCCATAGCAGTGCAGAGAGTAGTGTGTCGGTAAGTGATTGTACTTCCTTCTGCTGAATAAGGAGGGCCAAAGGCCCATGGGCCATTAGGGGTTGGGCCGAAGTTTGCGAGGAAAATTTGGCCCATCTTAGGGTGCGCATGACAATATTTCTATGCCGGGAAACTATTTCTACTCAGAAATGATTCCTTTTTATTCTATGCCCGAAAACAATTTCTAAACATTTAAAGGTGCTTGGTAACTGTCCAAAATTTCTATTTCTTGAATAGAAAAGAACAGAAATGTGTTTGATAACTACACACAAATTTCTTTTTATTAATAATATTTTGAATTGTTTAATTTTTTTTTCTTTCTACCCAGGGCATGGCAGGTGGCCGGCGGCCTGCGCCCAGCCATAGCCCAGGGCCGGCGAGGGCGTCACGGCCCTCGCCGACTGCCGGCGAAGGTGAGGGTCCCCCTTGCTGGCGAGGGCGAGGGCTGGACCCTCGCCTCCTGGGCGAGGCGGCTCACCGTTGGTCATGGTGAGGTCGGCCTCGCCGTCGCGACCCACGGCGAAGCAGAGCCTCGCCGTGGGTCGCGACGGCGAGCCTCGGCTGGCGAGGCCGAGCCACGCCATTGCGACCCACGGCGAGGTCGGCCGCCGTGGGTCGCGGCAGCTCGGCCTCGCCCGGAGCTGGGCGAGGCCGACCTCGCCGTCACGACCCACGGTGAGGCTCGGCCTCGCCGAGATCCGGGCGAGGCCGACCTCGCCATGACCGACGGCGAGCCGCCTCGCCCAGGCGGCGAGGTCCAGCCCTCGCCCTCGCCGGTAAGGGGGACCCTCGCCTCCGCCGGCGGCCAGCGAGGGCCGTGACGCCCTCGCCGGCCTTGGGCTGTGGCCGGCCGCCAGCCACAACCCAAGAAGAGCAACGCAAAAAGAAGAAAAGAAAAAAAACTGATTCTCAAAATTGTGCCGAAAAACAAGAAGCAACTTTTTTTTACTTCTTGTTTCTCTTCCAAAACTGTTTCTCGGCACAAATATTCGCAAAAATGTGCCCAGAAACAAAAAGTTTACCAAATGCATTTCTATTCCCAAACTATTTCTGGGAACAAAAGAACAGAAATTTTCACTGTTTGGCACGTTATCAAACGGGCCCTTAGTGGAGCTCGCCTAGCCTTCTTTTGCCCAGCGAACAAGCTAGTGGATTAGGTGGCTAAAGCATGGAAAAAAAAAGAATATATTAATTAGAAGTCCTAAAACTTATCATCAAAATGTAATTGGATCTTAAACTTACAAAAAGTGCAATCAAGTCTTAAAACTTGTTAAGTTAGTTCGATCGAGCCCTAAAGTAAACACCATCAATTTGTCTAACGGAAAATGCTGACGTGGCATATTTAAATCAATTTTTCTCTCATGGCATATATTATTATTATTCTTGTTCAAATATTATTTAAATTAGATTTAAAAAATTAAAGAAAATGAAAATTTTATTTATTAAAACAATAATAAAAAAAAGAAAAAAAAGGGGAGTCCTCACCGTTGGGCAGTGCCGCTGCCCATCGTTGGCCCTGGACAAGGGCTGCCAGCACTCGCCGACCCCAGGCGAGGGCCGGCGACGCTTGCTAGGTCTAAGCGATGATTTGGGATGCACTTAGGGCTGGCGAGGCCTCGCCTGGGGCTACGCTGGCCCCATGTGAGGGTTGACGAGGCATCGTCCAGATCTGAGCGAGCCTCATGGGCCCCAGGCGAGGGCCCCACAAGACCTCGCCCAAGGCGGGTGATGGTTGCTAGCTGCGAGGACTAACGTCGCCCAAATCTGGGCAAGCCTCCACAACTACCCTCGCTTAGAGCCGGCAATCTTCACCCTTACCCAGGGTCGACGAACCCCTCCGGACTCCAGTGATAGGCGGCAGCCTCCTACCAACAAGGACTCCCCTTTTTTTCTTTTTTTTTTCATTATTGTTTTTTTAAATAAAATTTTAGCTTTCTTTACTTTTTTTAATCTAATTTAAATAATATTTGAATGAGAATAATAATAAATGCCATGTAGGAAAGAGAAATTGATTTAAATATGCCAAGTCAGCATTTTCCGTTATACAAATTGACGGTGTTAACTTTAGGATTTGATTGAACCAACTTGACAAGTTTTGGGACTTGATTGCACTTTTTGCAAGTTTTAAAATTTAATCACACTTTGATGACAAGTTTTAGAATTTCTAGTGAACATATCCCATAAAAAAAAAAAACCAAGAACTTCCCACTAATTAGCTATCTTATCTCCCGAAACCAATGTTGGATCTTTTAATTTTTTATGTTCACAAACTTGTTTTTAGTTAATGAAATTTCCAGTACATCAACCCAAAAAAAAGGGTTAATACTATGAAAAATCTAAAACTTATACACATGTGACAATTTTACCAAAAACTAATATTTTGACCATAAAAAACCCCAAACTGATATACCTGTGATAAATTTACTCCAAACTAATTTTTTTATCACCAAAAACCAAGAACTTGTACATTTGTGATAAATTTACCCTCCGCCACAAAAAATCATAAGCTGATACGCCTGTGACGAACGGAGGGTAAAATATAAAATTAACACGTCCGTCAATTGCCGCGTGTCATTTAACAAAGCAATTTTACAGTAAAATTTAACATAAATAAATTGAGAGTAAATTTGTCACAGATGTACCGGTTTTGGATTTTTCATGGTTAAAAAATTAGTTTTGACTAAAATTGTCACATACGTACCAGTTTGAGATTTTTTGCGATATTAACCTAAAAAATAAAATAAAATAATTAGTTTTGGCTAAAATTGACACATGAGACTCTAAGCCGAATCTCCTTCGTATTGCATTTATTGAATTTGCAGCATTCTCCACCAAAAAAAAAAAAATACACCACACTGCCTCAGCATGTATTTATCAATTCACCACCGAGCATTTGTTTTGATTTCTCACTAACTTGCCTTTTAATAGAATTGATTACATTTAACTACTCAAATTTTCTTGAAAATGTGTCTTTATATTAAAAACAAAATGATTGCACAAATCTTTTACCACACTTTTTTTCTTTATTATAATTATTCGGAGGTCGACACGATGTGGTTGGTACAATTTGAGCGTCAAACCAAATCAAACTGCATAAATACGATTTGACAAGAAGTGAAACCAAACTAAATCATATTATAGTCAAGAACCAATCAAACCAAATTATCTTTTGCGAATTAATTCGGTTTAACCATTCTTTCTCCTTTTATTTTTTTTTCTCTTCATGTTTTGTAATTGTAATTTCATTGAAAAAAACCAAATTCTACAGTTACAACAATTCATAAATTCACACTCATTGAAAATCAATAGGCTGCTCCATGTATAGATGTAAAAAGTAATCAAGAAAGTTAAGAATTTATACAATACGATTTCGCAGTTTGATTTGGTTTTGAAAAAATTGAAACCAAACCAAACCACAAAAAACATTCTGATTTGATTTGTGAACGGTTTTTTTTTTCAAAAAAGCACTTTTAAACCTAACCAAACCGCCAAAAACTCTTTGGTTTGATTTGCTTTAACTCTAACAAGTTGTTACTCACCCGTTACTTTTCCTTCCGCACAACACGTTTGTTCATGCGCAGTATCTACTTATACTTGTGGCATATTATACCGTACTCTTACAATAGATTTTTTTAATGCAATTTTTGCAATAAATTTCGCAAATTGTGTCATTTGGAAAATCTTACATTCATACTGTTCATTAATAGTATGCTTAGATCTGGTGGAGGTGGTCTTATAGTGTTGGACAAGAAAGCTCGACTCCGATACCAGATGTTGACTTTTGTGAAGCTACTTAGATATCCCTTATCGAATTTTTTGGCATGAATTTAGTGATAGCAACACGAGAATCTTAATATGCAAAGCCTATGAAGACACTATCACAGTATGTTAACTATCTCATTTTATAAGGTACCTCTATTAGTCTCGTGATACACAAACTAATTTGAACAAAATGCTCTTATAATACACATTCTCTATCTTAACCTTTGTATCTCTCCCATGAAGCTCTGTAGTGAATCGCCTTCTTTCTAAAATTGCCGTTCTTTCTAAACTCTAGAGTTTACCAAGACAAGCACAATATGACTTCCCTTTACAGAGAGTGAATCGCCGTCTCTCTATACCACTACTGGGCTTTTTGAATTTGATCCGTATACTTGGGTAGCAAGAATCGTATTGGTTCCCTCTGACCAAAGTTTTTTAACAGTGGAAACTGACCGGAAGAAATTGCCTGTCTTCAATTCGTCCTTTGACAGGCCATCACATCAACTTAAAGAGATTTGTAGATGAGATCAGCGTTGAAAAGGCCTTCCAGGGGAAGAAGGATTTGGTCTGGGAAAAGAGAAATCAGGACAATTGTAAGTGTCACGGAATGGTAAACCAACTAGTGTTGAACCATATCGACAAAGACAGATTTATGAAGAATGTTTCAGGATGGGAGCTCTGATCGACGTAATCAGAAATGCATACACCGAAGAGGAACAGATTCAGAAGTAGAATCCAAACAAACTCGTGAATTAAATAGGGCACTTGCATATCATTGTATGGGTTATGGAGGGAAAGAAAGGGGCAAATTTACATTTAAACTATCAGAAAGGAAAAGAACAGAACCAGACAAGAACCAAAAGAGACTGAAAAACTAAGGTGGTTCCGCAACTCGGCTTGAGAGCGGAAGGATATGGCCATGCAACACTCGTTCAACGAGGAAGCCAAGTACATAAATCGGTTCCGAATCATTCCTTCCCCACCTAAGTTTGGCATGCTTGACACCGACAGAGATACGACAGAGTATATGCAAATCAGCTCAGCACAAGGTCTGACCTGAGGTTTCGCAAGTTCTCAGCTTGTGAAAAATGGCAATCAAACGGATCATTGAACTGCTCATGCCAGTTCAATTGTATTCTAATGAAGTCAAAAGACAGAGACATTTACAGCTTACACTGCACCAGCAAGCATGAAAGGTGCGTACACAACGCACCTGAACAAATCAGGAACGCCCCCTGCATCCTCAAGCTCTCTCGCCACGCCTTCAGATAACAAATCAACACCTTGTTCCTTAGCTGTAGTAACTGCGGACCATGACCCTAACATCCTCAGAAACCCTTTGAAAGAGAGGTCCTTCAAATATTACCCTGTATAATTCTGCAGTTCCAACCCCCCTAGCGCCACCAACTCTTCTGAGAGCTTGCCGCCACGTCTCTACATCCTCGGAGCTTAACTTCTTCTTCTGATCCTCCATCATTTGCTCCAAATTCAGAATGTCATTACTGTACAACTGGGTCCTCAGCTTCACATCATCAGGTTTCACATTATAAAAGATGGGCAATATCACCTTCTCATTCCCATCTTCTCTTCTAGATTCAGAGGTGTACTCCACCATCTTCGCAAGCTCGTGAAGGCACCAGTGACTCGATGCGTAGTTTGGGGAGAAGATGGGTATGTAGAGCCTCGAGTCATCGATCGCTCGCAGAAGGTTGCCACTAATTCTTTCGCCCAGTCGAAGCTCTTCGTCATCCATGAAAACGTGAATCCCGGCACGTCTGAAGTCGTGGTAGAGGACGTTGGTGAATTCCCGGCGAGTGTCGGGCCCTCTGAAACTCAGGAACACCTGGTACTCACCTCCTAATGTATAGCTGGTGCTCGTCCCTGTCTCTGAGTTCGCCATAGGAGCTTACTCTGCAATTAGCGTGGTCCTCAGGTACAGCTGAAGCACGTGGAGAAGATGGGTATGTTAGATACCTCGGAGTCTTCCGAGCTCGCCGACCGGACCCGAGCTCAGTCGTCAATCTCGCAATCACGGAACACAGGAGCTTCTTGGGGGTGGAACCCAAGCAAGAAATAGGAAAAGGCGCAAGAGATAGCTTTACCTCAGACATGGCGACCACCGGCGAAAGGATCCTTGAAAATTAACGTCGATCGTGCGGAATTGACGGGCTCGCCGGAGTAGTTTCGCGACCACCACCGGGGAGTGCTGATTCACGGTTTCGCGAAGTCTATTTATGCAGAATCGACGATGGCTGGAGAAACCCTAGGTGTGCTCGAGGGACGGCGGCTTGCGGAGGAGGAGCTCCATCGGGAAGCACACGGTGCGAATAAAAAACATTTAACTACTCAAATTTTCTTGAAAAATGTGTCTTTATATTAAAAACAAAATAATTGCGCAAATCTTTTACCCCACTTTTTTCTTCATTATAATTAAAATTAATAGCACGAAAATCCTCAAATTAATATATCTGTGACAATTTTATCATGAATTAATATTTTGACCACCAAAAATCCCAAATTAGTATACCTGTGATAAATTTACCCTCAGTTTATTTCCGTTAAATTTTATTGTCAAATCGCTTTGTTAAATGACACACAACAGTTGATTGACCTGTCAGTTTTATGTTTTACCCTCCGTTTGTCACAGGTGTAACGGTTTATAATTTTTTTTGTATTAATTCAATTTAACAGAAACTAACGAAGGGTAAATTTGTCATAAATGTATCAGTTTGGAATTTTTAGTGGCCAAAATATTAGTCATGAGTAAATTTGTCATAAGTGTACCAGTTTGGGGTCTTTTATGGTAAAAAAATTAGTTTTTGATAAAATTATCACAAGTGTACCAATTTGGGATTTTTGATGATATTAACGCTTAGAAAAACTATTATGATGTCGACACGGTGTATTGGTACAATTTGAATATCAAACCAAATCAAACTGTATAAATATGATATGAAAAAAAAGTAAAACCAAACTAAATCATATTATAGTCAAGAACTAGTCAAACCAAATTATCTTTTGCGGATTAATTCCGTTTAATCATTGTTTCTTCTTTCATTTTTTTCTGTTCATGTTTTGTAATTTCATGAATTTTTTTTTTTTACAGTTACAACAATTCATAAATTCACACTAATTGAAAATCAATAGTCTGCTCCATATATAGATAGTAATAGTGATCAACAAAATTAATAATTTATACAGCACGATTTCGCGAATTTGGTTTTGAAAACCAAACCAAACCACAAAAAACATTCTGGTTTGATTTGTGAACCGTTTTTTCTTTTCAAAAAAAGTACTTTTAAACGGAACCAAACAGCAAAAAACTGTTTGGTTTGATTTGCTTTTAACTTTAACCAATTATTACTCACCCGTTACTTTTCCCTTCCGCACGACACCTTTGTTCATGTGCAGTATCTATTTATATTCGTGGCATATTATACCGTGCTCTTACAATAGATTTTTTTTAATGCAATTTTTGCAATAAAAAATTCGCCAGTCGTGTCATTTGGAAAATCCTATGTTCATACTGTTCATAAATAGTATGCTTATATCTAATGGAGGTGGTCTTATAGTGTTGGACAAGGAAGCTTGAATCCAATACTATATGTTGACTTTTGTGAAGCTACTCAGATATCACTTATCGGGTTTTTTGGCATGAATTTAGTGGTAGCAACACAAGAGAATCATAATATACAAAGCCTATGAAGACACTATTACGGTATGTTAACTCTCTCACCTTATAAGGTACCTTTATTACTCTCATGATACAAAAATTAATTTGAACAAAATGCTCTTATAATACACATTATCTATCTTGACCTTTGTATCCCTCCCATGAAGCTTTATAGTAAATCGCAATCCCTCTAAAATTGCCGTTCTTTCTAAAACTGTAGAGTTTACTAAGATGAGCATAACATGACTTCCCTTTACAGGTAATAAACCGACTTTGAGAACCCCGCGAATCTACTTTGTACTTACCCAAATTAACTTTTCAATTGGACAACAAATGTACAGCTCAACTTGAGCCTCTATATGCACTTTACCTCTGTTCTTCAAGCTTGTGAGCTAGCCCTACTAGTTCTTAGTTTATCAATCATAAAAAAAAAAAAATTGAACGTTATAGGACGGTGCGTTCTGGTCATTGAAAGAATTCCATCTACTTAATCACCCACCTTATTTGACTTAGCCAACGCATAAAACTAAAGCTTTGTAACAAAAAACATATACAGCTAGCAGAACACATGCACACTTCAAGCGCCATTGTCTCTACGTGCCGGAACTCAGCCGCAATTCCTTTCATTACTCCTTGAACATACTCCTTGTTTTCACATTTACTTTATTGTTGCATGTACTAAGTTAGGTGTTGATGTCATCCATTATATCCATAAGAGTAGTTCTTTTTCATCTAGCGCATTGGAAGCAGGTATAGGCAATTTCGCACGAAGCCAAGTATGTTTTGCGGTTCTCCAATGCAAGTCTCTGACTTTAATATTAAAGTGACGACGAAGACCTTCGAGATTTTTAGAGGACCATTGAAAAATTATTAATTTTAACAAAAGTCGAGATATGAGCCAACTACCAATCGACTCGGGAAATTATAATGGACTAAGCTCACCATTAAATTCAAAAAAAAATTGGAATATTTGGATCTAATATGGAGACCAAAAGATCGGTTCAGAGTCCATACATCAACAACAATGGTAATACATGGTTTCCTACTTAGAGAGAAGCGGCATTATTAGAAAATTTGTGAAACATTTGTTACCATATCGTGAACAGGACATGCTATGGCAACAATTAAAAGTATTTTGCTAATGAGTGTCCTCTCAACACTCGTTAGTCACTCCTAATGAAAGAATATTTTCATTTTCAATACACTGATGGTGCATAATACGAGAACAATAGTATTTTGAAAGTGACAAAATTTCTTCACGTGTTGATGTTTAATTTAACTAATGCCTTTAGAGTGCTTGTTAACAAAATTCTAATAAAAATACAGTACGCTTCACATATTTGAATTTAACTCCATTTTCCATCAAAAACGCGTATAGGCAACTTCCCAACAAGTGCAGCTTCCATTAGTCAATAAAGTCGATGGATTTTAAAATAATAAGTGGAGACCAAAGAGCACCTAGAGATTGAGGTGCACCTTTTCACACGCCCAATCAAAAACGCGTATAGGCAATTTCCCAGCAGATTCAACTACCATTAGTCAATAAAGTCGATGACAATAAGGTGGAGACCAAAGACATAGAGATAGAGGTGTACCTTTTCACACTATCACAAACGCATATAGGCAACTTCCCAGTAGGTGCAGTTACGATTAGTCAATTAAGTCGATGACAATAAGGTGGAGACCAGAGAAGACAAAGAGATAGAGGTGTACCTTTTCACACCCCCCCAATTTCTTTAGTTTCTTCTTCGTGCTTGTCACATAACTCTGGCTATGTAACAACCTCTGTTCTGAATTCGCATTTGAACTTTTGGATTTAAAAAAAATGATTCTCAAACATTTAAATCTTTTACAATTATTCTATAGCTATATCTACAGTTGGACATATTTAACATCCCAGCCCAATATTGTAAAATCACAATATATCTATATAATTATATAATAACAAAATATGCTTAAAGAATCGCATCCCAGATGACACATGGGACTCTAAGCTAAGATCTCCTTCACATTGCATTTATTTCATTTGCAGCATTCTCCACAAAAAAGATGCACCACTTGCGTACTGCCTCAGCATATATTTATCAATTCACCATCGAGTATTTGTTTTGTTTTCTTCGCCTTAATAACTTGCCTCTTATTAGAATTGATTACATTTAACTACTCAAATTTTCTGAGAAAATTTGTCTTTATATTAAAAACAAAATGATTACTCAAATCTTTTACCACGCTTATTTATTTATTATAACTATTAGGAGGTGAGCACGGTCTCGTTGGTACAATTTGGATGTCAAATCAAACAAAACTACATAAATACGATTTTAAAAAAAGTGAAACCAAACTAAACCATATTATAGTCATGAACCAATCAAACTAAATTGTTTTTTTGCGGATTAATTCGGTTTAATCACTCTTTCTTCTTTCATTTTTTTCTCTTCATCTTTTGCAATTTCATGAAGAAAGCCAAAATCTACGGTTACAACAATTCATGAATTCACACACTATGAAAATCAGTACGCTGCTCCATATATAGATGGCAAAAATAATTAACAAAATTAATAATTTATACAATATGATTTTTCTGTTTGATTTGGTTTTAAAAAAAATTGAAACCATACCAAACCACGAAAAACATTTTGATTTGATTTGTGAACCGTTGTTTCTTTTTTTTTTTCCAAAATAGTACTTTTAAACCAAACCAAACCAAACCGCAAAAAACTGTTGGGTTGATTGCTTTAACTCGAACCATTTTTTACTCACCCCTTACTTTTTGTTTTGCACGACATGTCGGTTCATGTGCAGTATCTATTTATACTTTTTTGTTTTTGCTAGAAAGTATCTATCTATACTTGCAGCATATTATAACGTACTCCTACAATAGATTTTTTTTTAATGCAGTTTGTGCAATAAAAAAATTCACCAATCGTGTCATTTGGAAAATCCTAAATTTATGAGGTTCATATGTACTATGTTTAGATCTACTGGAGTTGGTCTTATAGTGTTGGATAAGGAAGCTTAGCTTCGATACCAGACGTTGACTTTCATGAAGCTACTCAGATATCATTTGTCGGCTATTTTGGCGTGAATGTAGTTGTACTTGTAGCAACCCCAGAATATAACAAAAAACGTATACAGCTAGCATAACACATGCACACTTCCCGCGCCATTGTCTCTACTTGCCGGAACTCAGGCCGCAATTCCTTTTCATTAATCCTTCAATACACTTTTTGTTTTCACTTTACTTTATGCTCACGTGTACTAAATTAGGTGTTGATTTTTAATATATATATATATATATATGTATATGTCATCCATTA